GGTAAAGGCATATTTAGAGAATAGCAAGTAGTCTATTGCAAAGGAAGCACAAAATGTCCATAGACATTAACCATAATATACTTAAAATAACACAAAAATAAAAATGAAAACCTATTGAGATTAATTGGCTCTATCTAATAAGTTAATGTCTGCAGAATTAAAAAGCTAATTGTGATTAGAGTCAATATGGAATTACTTGCTAAATGAAATTGGAAAAGGGCCCGCATTAAAATCAAAGGTGGTCACTAGTTCCACACCCTACACACACTTGCCCTTCCTTTCCCTCACCATTTCTGATCTCCTGGTACTAAATTATTTTCTACATTACATGAGAGGAACGTCCAGCTGAAAAAAAAAAAAAAGACACTTTAATTCCTGTATGGTATTTTTAGTATTTTGGGGAACAAATTATATTGCTTTATTTCCTCCTTCAATACATTTTTTGAAAACTTTCATTACAGTTTCTAGCTGTTCAATGATCACCAAGAGAAAGGTCTCAGAGGAATTATTTCACTTTGAGTCTAATAGGATAGAAAAGAAAGAGACATGATAGAAAATTATTAGAGAAAGCCTTTCTAGAAGTCCTGAACTATCACTTGAAATATAAAACTCTATTCTCTCCATCTGACTGGAGAATGGCTGATAGCTTTGTCTTAAGTGATAACCTGTCAACTCTAAAGGAGGTAGGAGAAAAATCACATCTATTTCCACTCAGAACAGATAGCCAGTTCTAGTCTAGACTTCACATTGGTTGCACGTTTATCCAGCCTCTCTTGTGGTTGTATTAGTCACTCATTGCTTACGCTTTCTTTTTCCCCAATAGTGACCCAACCTTGGTAGTTTACCAGGCAATAAAGAGAACACAGGTAGTCTCAAACTGTTCTAACCAAATCCTCCACCTCTACAACGGAAACTTAAATACTAATGACAATTAACCGTCGATTCCCCAAGTGTCTGTCCTTTCTCATTCCACCTTGACTCTCTTCTTTTGAGAACTTCCAGAAATTTTCCCCAATGCCATTTTAGTTATTATATTAACATCTTAGATTCCTATAGGTTTTTTTTTAAAAAATTATCTTATCAAGGCTGTCTCATATGTTTGTAACTTTTTGATTTCATCTAAGGATTTTCTTGCTAAAAAAGTAGTTAGTACTTCTATCCATTCTTTAGAAGCAGACAATTAAATAGCACAAGAAAACCAGGGGGCAGCTATAAAAAAAGCTGGGGGAAGGTTTTGGGAAACCTAGAAGAAAAACTTTACAGGAATTTTAAGATAACAAGAAACTTAAATCCCACAAGTCCTCCAGGGAGAAAAAATACATCTCAAATCACTATAGAACAACAACAACAAAAGGCCAATATGTGGAGAAATGGCAGATGGAATGAAAGCTGACTCAAAGGTCTCTCTGATTGCATCCTGCAGGAAGACCACCCAAAATGACACAGTGAGAAGGTTAAAGTCCTAGCATACATGTATCTTTGTCCACTGCAGAGCTAAGCATAATAGAGCTAGCACAATTATATTGCCACTCAGCTAGCTCTCTCCTTACAGTGTGCAGTTCCAGTGCATAAGCCAAGTTTTCTAACAATACCCTTTATTAAACTTAGTTGAGTTTTAAATAGCGGGAAATAAATTCTATAGTACTGAAAATAATATTTAAGTGAAAAATCATATTCCAAAGGTATATACAAATGAGTTAGAATTATTGTAATGCTTAAATTATCTATAGAAACCCAGTTTTTTTTCCTTGCAATAGAAAGAATAACCAAGACTTAGATGCATTTTCTTTCTTATGGCAAACATATACTATGTGAAAACTGTCATCACTCAGGTGAAAATATCAAGGAGTCATCAAATCCCCAAATAGTAATGTTTTAGAAAGTGAGTTTTTAAAAACACCAAGTTGCTCAGGAGCAAATAATAAATGGAATTTTCATTTATAGTATATTTTATGGTTTTCTACTAAACAACAATGTGCTAAGCTGGAGAAACAATGACAAAAAACAAAGATGATCCCTTCCTTCACTCATTTCAGAGTATAGTGCTCCAATCCAAGTTAAAATCATACCTTCATTTGAAAACAGAACCCATTATGCAATTCTTCATCTAGCAAGATCTCTTAATAACTGACATTTCTGTAGCCTAGTGTGTGTTGCCACTAACAAGTTTTGGGACCTTGGTTAAGTCACTTAACTTGTGGGCCTTATATTCCTTATGTGGAATGTAAATGGATTTAGCTACATGATCACTAAGCCCTTTTTGGCTCACCCAATCTAAATCTTTAAGATTTTTTTTTTTTTTTTTTTTTTGTGGACTACCTTCTTTAATCTTCATGATTATTTGCAGTGACAGAGGTAGAGAACGTGATTTGTGGAAGATAAAATAGCTAGAAAAATGCCAAGAGAGTGGAGAAAGTTGATTTCCAGACTTCTGGTTCAATGCCTGAGTGCTGACATGACAGAGGATGTATCATTACACAACTCGGGGACAGGCTTGCTGCTGTCTAGTTTAGTGACATCGGGCAGGTTGTTGCTTACCTCTGAGCCCTGGTTTTCTTATCTGAAAAACTGGAACATAACCTCACACTTACATAGGATGTTTTGCATAAAATAAAGTCTTCGTAGCTAACTTTTACCCTATAACAGAGGAAATAGGCAATACATAGTCATGGTATATAATGACAATTTTGACAAGACTATTGAGTTTTCTGTCATTTTGCACCATGCCTAAAACCCAAGTTTTCCTTACAACTGACTCCTGAATGTGCTGTACTCTCATTTCTCAGAAGAATAGGGTTGTGCTTTCATCCAAAACCAAACATGACCATTTTTCCCCAAAACAATCTTCTGAAGCAGGTAACTGGCAAATATGTCCTAGTTGGAATATTTCCTAGAAATACTTCAATGACCAAAGAAAATAAAATGAAACTGTCATCTTTTCTGAACATGGTAAACGTGGTGATACTGACAATGCTGTAAAATACCAATAGTTATTACCATAACCATTACAAATGATTATTGACTATACATTAACTACAAATTATGTATCTCTATTTGATTGTCAACCTCTACTCGTTTTATCTTTTCTCCTTGTTCTGATAAAACCACAGAGAGTTTAAGCGGTGTTGCTGTACAAGATTAAGAAAAAAAAAAAGGCTTACACAATATATTTGTTATCAATGCTTTATTGTTGAAAACAAAATTGAAATTCTCTGGCACATAAAACAATTATTTCTACAAAAGGAAAGCCTACAAATCTTGATAATTTATACAAATAACAGTTTCTCAAAAAATAAAATTTTAATTTAGTAAACTTGTCTTGTGCTCTATATTTTTAGCACTGTCTGCAATAATCCACCATAAATCCCTGAGCAGAGACATTTTTTGATCATTTTCTAACACCCCCCCACCCCTAAGCCTCCCCCCGAGTTGGTCAGTTACTAAGTCCAGCCCTGTAGTGAAAAGTGTCAGGGACATTTAGTTATTAAAGATCCATGCATTTTATGACACAGGCCCAATTATTAATGCTACTTGGGGACTGAGTCAATATGAAGTGCCTCTACTGTGCATTCAGTGAACCTATTAGGAACCAAGTCTTTGGAAGGAATAACAATAACAACAAAAAAGACATAAAATGTTAAGCCTAGGAAGTCATCATAGGTCAATAACTATTTAAATAAATACAAATGTTAGACATTGAATTAATCTCTATAGCCTTATATAAAATTTCTTTTCTTTTTTGTTTTTTGAAATTGCCAATGCACTAGAAGATGAAAAATACACTTCAACCCACTCTTTCCGTTTGACCATGGGTTTGTTGTTGTTAAATGTTAAATATCATTCTGAAAACACAGTGATTTAGTTATAATTTAACTTCTGGCCCTTCAATGAAATGTTTACAAAATAATATACATATTACAGAAGGGCCTTCTTATTAATGCCATCAAAAAATCTCTCTCACTACATTTGTCCTTCTCACAAAAACACTAATGCCATAGGAACTCTACGTTAAATTTTTTATCCCACTGTATTCAGATATATAGCAAAACATATAAAATATGGAGAAAACATAATGTGATGTATTTTCATGTCCAGCTTCCCTTTGATGGGGACGCCAATCATATATACATGGAGAATGAAAGAGAAAGAAAAACAGGTAACTTTCAGTTACAAAGAACTGGCTTAATGCATCAAGTTTTGTTTTGTTACTCTGCTATGGTAGAACAATAAATAAATAAATATGTAGGGTATAGCATAGCTACTTTCTCTATGAAGAAGTCGATAATGGACTAGTGTTATATGAAGTTAATTTTTAGTAGCAAAGTTTAACTGCAAGCCAAAAACTGTTCAATAAGTGTTTTTTCTCTACTTCATTTATAGTCTTTTCCTTGTTGAAATGATTGCTGAAGTGGTTACTAACAGGTAATGAAATAAAATATCAAATTTGCTAGTGAAAAATAGTTTTCAACTGAGAAAAGCACTTGGCAGAAGACCTAGAAACACGCAGGCTAATGCTACACTCTATTGCAGCTAAAGATAAGTCATTTTTGACATCTTTCAGGAAGAGCGAAATAAGGTAAAAATAATTCCTTGAAAACTTGTCAGCATTACTGTTAGGTACTTATTAGAAAGTGATTACCATTTCATACCAACTCTTTCCAAACACTGAATCAATGGCAACCATCACCATACACTCCTGTGTGTAGACTTGATTTTTTAACCAGCAATATCTGGGAAGCACAAGGCATCTTCCCTTTTGTCTAATAGCCGTTGGTTAGTTATTGGTACAGGAACACTTATAAACTTCCCTTTCCCTTATCCTGTGTACGCATGCACATTAACCAGGAATAGCCATTTTAAAAGGTAATTTCAAAAGAATTAATATAATGAATTCTATTAGGCAGTTTGGGGGAAAATAGTAGCAACATTACAATTAAAAAAAAATGCCTGCCTGACACATTTAAGGCCTCCCCAGCCCCTCTCACAACACAGGCGGTGAAGTATGTTTAGCTCTACTCTCCCCAAATCCTTTTCAAAAAGCGAATGATGTCCCAAAGAATGAAGACTGTGACATATAAATCATAAAACATCATGTGCACTCGTCAAGAAACAACCGCAGATTCCAACAGATTCTGACACAGTATTTAAACAATAGTTTCCTAAGCTTCCGAAACTGGTAAGCAGGCTGTCCCAAAGAGGGAAGACAGCAGCGTCAGGACAACCAGCGGCTCACTGGGATTCACACTACACTTTAATCACTCCAACAACTTTACCTCAACAGAGTACTGTGGCTGAGTGGACACTCTGACTTCCTTTCACAGTGTTTAAGGAACAATATAATTTTGAGATTAGCTTTGAAAATGAACCAAATCTGTGACTTAGACACCCCTCCCTTTTAAGAATGTCAAAAAATTCTGTTTTAAGTGCTCTGGTTTATAGTCTATGGGTGACAATTACATCCTCCAGGAGGTTTCCAATGTCCTCCCTTTTTGGTGTTAACAGCTGTGCCAACAGCAAAGTGGATTCTCCCAGAAGTGGCAGTGACCTCAATGACCTCTGCCCTGGTCTTGAAGTCCAAAATGCGTTCTTATCATAGCACTGCTGGGAAGTTCTGTCTGTTAACGAAGCCAGCTTTTGAAAATGGAGGAGGATGAGTTTCCGCTCCCTGTGTCAGGTCTTGGAAGTCTTTAAGCCTTGTTTTTCCATGATGTTCCAGAGTTTGCGGAGATTGGACTGCGTGATGACGTCATCCGGCTTGAGCTGCAGCGCCCGCAAGTAGTTGGCCTCAGCCTTCTGGAGTCTGCCGTTGAGGTGCAGGATGGCTCCCAGGTTCATCAGAGCAGCGGGATACTGCCACAAGAGAAAGGAAGGAAAACAATCAAGAGGCCATTTCCAGCTCTCCTTCATGGAAAACAAAAATCTTCATCCACTTATGCAAACGATTCCCTTATGTCTACAGGCATTATGTGGAAGCAATTTAGCGATTTATACATTCAGATATAGATAACTAGGGAGAAAAAAAGTTTTCAAACAGCTGCTGTGTACTTTGTGCTTTAAATAGGACGGGCATCCAGAGAAATAGTATTTTTTTCTTTAATGAGAAAGCAGAGATAAATGAGGACCTAGTAACCTAGTCTGACTGTATTTTTGAGAAAAACAGTTAAAAGTGATACAATTTCAGATGGAAAGAATAAAATTTTTTTCAACTCAATGGCAAGAAATAAAAAATTAAGTGGGAAAAGCTGAAAAATCTATGTCCACTCACTATTTTCTCTTTTTAGCAATATTCCAAGCTTTTAATGCAAAACAATTAAACTATAAAATTTTACTGATGTTTTTAGGATAAAAACCCTGAAAAAAATTCCAATGCAACCACTTTAAAGTTCTTTCCAAACCTAAGTAGTTTAACAAGACAAAGTCCTTATTTTTAAAAGCCAAGTTTTTTTTTTTAACTTCTAATGGTGGATGTTTACTATAAATATAGCAAAGTAAAAATATATCAAAATAGATAAAATATGGCACTGGAAAGCGAAACCTTCATAAGAAAAGTTTCATTTTATTAAAAAGTAAGTAATTCTCATAGAATTTTCAGTAATGCATCATAATTGAATTATAGAACCATCATGTGGAAAAAAAAAAGTATAAAAAAAGGCCTGAGTTACGCAGTACTAGTTTAATACGAAGGTTTCCCTCCCCAGATTCTCAGAAATTAGCTAACAACAACAAAAGTTCTTCCCAAAGGAAAACATATTTTGCTTGCTATCTGGAAATAAAGGTTGTTCTGCTCTTGTCTTGTCCCTGGAACGTTCCGGTTTACAGAGAACAGCTAATATTTTGGCAGTTACATAAAGGCATATTTCACATATCAGATAAAATTATAAATGTTTCTGTTAGGATTATGCTTCCATTTTACAGACAGCATCAACTATTGTCCTTCAACTCTGTGCCACAACCTAAAATAGTTCATAATTATTTTTAAGATTTAGTATTTTCACAGGATTTTAGTATGAATGTGTTTTTCAGCTGCATTCATGTGATTCCAGTCTTTACTGTAGAAACGATTATTTCTGAACCAAAAACAATGCTAAGGGAGAGGGTGGAATGGCTTAGAATAAGTTGAAAACTTTGAAAACTATGATCAGATTTGGACCGTAAGAGATCTGAGTTTGAATTCTTGCTCAACCACTGACTGTGACCTTGGTGAAGTCCCCTACCATATCTGTGCCCCAATTCATTCATTTGTGAAAGATATAACCTCAACTTCTTTGCATGCTGTTAGAGAGATACAATGAGAAAAATAAACAGATACATATAGCAGAGTGCAGGTGTAAGGCAGACACACTGCAGATGTCAAGATCTCTTTTCCTTGTCTCATTTTGCTTGAGCTCTCGCACATCCGTGTTTGTGATTTTTTACACTGCTGTACAGCCTTTAAAGTTTTTACTTCAATGGCTACATAATATGTCTCTGGATGTGTAACAAAATTCTCTTAAATCTTCAACTACTAGGCATTATTTTCAAACTTTTCTACATCCTTTTTTCTTTTCCAAAAATAATGTTGCAAATATAAGCTACTCCTGACCTTCAAAAACCTTTTGGTCAGGATGACTCCACACTTATCAAGAAAAATACAGATGGTCAGTTTCTAATTTTAAATGCCAATCCAAATAAACATAGCTCTAAATTACATGTGCAGTGAAAAGCTCCACACTGGAAACTGAAAATACCACCACCTACTCTGTCTTCCTGTAAGAACTTTGTAATCACACCACTGTTTTTACCTCCAGTTCCTTGATGCCTGGACACATTTCTGAATTATGTCCCCGCTCAGTGCTTAGTACAACTATCAATAAACAGCTGCTAAACTGACGGTCAAGTGTGCTCACAGCCTGAATTACTAGAGATGCTAAGTAGATAAAATGCTTTGCTACCTAAGTGGGAAGAGAGGAAGTAGGGAGGGAGAACCACTGCTGGAGACCATTCCTTACTAACCAGGAATGGAAGAGGCCCAGGGATGAGGCTGAGAGAAACCAGATGGCTCTGTGGGACAGTCGTTATTTCCTGAATCACTTTATTACCAAAGTGTCTGTACTTACAGTGTCTGTATCTATAACTGAAACTCAAAGGGATTATTAAAAACACTCAGAGGTTATGGAGTCAGGCTACCTAGGTTCAAGTGTCAGCTCCACCACAGAGATGTGTGCACTTCAACAAGATGGGTGAGGGGGGCCAGGGACCTCAGATTCTTCTACAAATGGGAAGACAACAGTACTTGCTTCATAGGGTTTCTGTAGATGTTATCTGAGAACACATTTTGTCTTTTTCTACTTCTTCTCCCTCCTTGTCATCAATTCAAAAACACAAAGTACAATCTCCTTGTGAGTGTGCCTGAACAACCAGTGAATTCAAAGGTTGAGGATTTTTGAACTGGCACTATCATTGCTAGATTTCTAGATTTTTAAAGGTTAAACCTGTAAGAGATGGATGTAAAAATGGCTGGTGAAGTACACCTTGCCACATAAATAGGCCTATCATTTGCTAAATTGCAGCCTGAGGCTCTTCTGTCCTTGGAACACTTTGGAGTTACCTAGCCACAAACAAATTATGAAAAAAAAATTTAGTATTTTAATATTATTCTAAGAAAACACAATAAAGAAGTTAAATCTGTTCTGATGAATGAGTTCTGAATGCTAATTATAATGGGGTGTTTGTAATAACTTTAATTTTGCATTATCCACACTACCATTTACTCATTAAACAAAAATAATCATAAATCGATATTATGAAGTTAATGTGGGATAAAAGATCTCAAGGAAGCTTACATAGACTCATTAATTGCTTTCCCTAAGGACTAAAAATATATGTAAACTAAAAGTGTGCATATTTAAGAATATCATTCAATGTTTAAGCAGCTATACATTTTAGGTTCAGCTGTAATGCTATGGTTTGAATGTAAATGTCTATTTTAACAGAATAAATTTTTTTAATTTTAAAAACCTACAAATGTACATAATGCTTAAAACATCACTATAGCTTTCTTATTTGTGTGAATGGAAACTGATAGAATCTACATACAGGTATGCTAAAATGTGACCTCAGTCATGAGTATCACCACCCTACATATCCGCTTTGAAAGTGTCAACCATTATTTTGACATAAACAGTATCACGTGTTTGTTAAAAATTTATGAATGAGACTGTACATAGTCCCCAATTTTTCTTACATGTTTTTCTGTCTTCAAAGACTTTAACTTTTAAACTTGTCATGTCTGTGCCTCCACAGCAGTGCTAGGGAAGTTTAATGGGTTTGCACTAGGCTGAACGCCTTCAGCTCTTCCAGCTGGTTCAGGGAGTCGCAGCAGCATCATTGGGGAGCTTGACAGAGATGCAGAATTTCAGGCTCCACCTACTGAATCAACCTGAATTTCAATAAGACCCTGAGGTGCTTTGTATGCTCATTAAAATTTGAGAAGAACGGTTTTAAAGGTCACTTCTAGATCATAGTTTATATCATTTTATAGCTTGTGTGATTAAATTTTCCTGTAAGAGATTATAATGTATAGAATAAAGTATGTCAGATCAAATGTCCACCTTCTCAAAAAGTAGGATTCTTCTCTTGGTCATGCAATTATTTAAGTTAGTAAATGTTCAAATAACAGAAGCTGTAAATGATTGTTATTACACAGAAAGAGAGGGTATGAAAAGCCTTTTGATAATCAAACAAGAGCATGGAAAGGCTTCTAAACAGACTTAAAGACTACCTAGCCATATGATCAAAATGCAAGAATTACAGGTGACTGGCAGTCTGATTACATATTGGTGTCACTGCTCTCTGCCATCTGTAACTCGTGGGCTGGGGAACAGAAACCCAACCACAACTGCGGATGTTTTCCCCTACACACATCCTCTTTTATTAAAGACAGCTGATGAAACTTTCAGCATGTTAAACCAAGGCATTCAGCAGCTTGCAGCCCAGTAACATGGGGCTCCTGGCTCTGTACAACAAATGACACCACCTCCCGCTTCACAGACTAGAAAGAAGAACCAGATCTTTGTTTCCTTGAAGAGGACAGATGCTTTACATCAAAGGGGCTGACTGGCAGACATACTGAGGCGGCAAATGACGTCTTTTCAAGTCTCTAGGGCATTCTGCCTTTATTGTATTTTACTGTGGTCTTTGGCTTACTTCTCCAACATCGATGGAAAAACACAAAATTAAAATAATGGATGTATATTGGAGTGAGGTAGAACAAAGGCAAGATTCTGGGGGTCTGATTCTACAGGGTGCCCAAAAAGTTGTCATACATAGGGAAAATATGAAATTGTCACTAAATATACCTTTATTTACAAAATTTTGTTTAAGGTCCTTTGGGCTCCCAAAGAACTCAGCTAAGCTCACAGTGCATCCTGAACACACAGGATTAGAGCACAGTCATTTTTCTGGCTGTAGCCTATCCTTTAGTCTTGGTAAGAAACCTACGGAGGAGAAGTAGTGAGACCACAAGAGGATATAGGATTGGACATTCTTGTTTCTGTTTGGAACAGGATTAAAATATAGAACACTGAAATGTAGATTTCTGAAAAGAAGACTTGGGTGGGGCCCAGAGAAAAGAAAAGAAAAAAAAAAAGGGATTGGTTGAGATGTGCTAATTACGCAGGAGTTGGAAACCCATGTAGAAGACCCCTCTCTGTATCCCATTAGTCCCTCTGGCCTCTTTCCTTTTATGAAGGATAATGAACAGGCAAATGAAACCATGGAAAAGATGAAGATAGCTATAGTACACCGATATTTTTAATATTACAAGTACATTTATTTCCATCCAACGGATCTACTCATGTTGCTGAAATTAT